CCCAAGTAGCTGGGACTACAGGCGCCCGCCACAACGCCTGGCCAGAGCCCATAAATTTTCTTAATCACACCCTTAACTTTGTAAGCATTGTTAAGTGGTAGGTATTTTTTCAACAATAACTACTTTATGGCTCAGCAGCTAGGGCACTGGCCACATACACCAGGGCTTGCAAGTTCAAACCTGGCCTGGGCCTGCGAAACAATGACCACTATAACAACAACAAAAAAAATAGCCAAGCATGGTGGCGGGCGCCTGCAGTCCCAGCTACTTGGGAGGTTGAGGCAAGAGAATCACTTGAGCCCAAAGGTGGGAGGTTCCTGTGAGCTATGATGCCATAGCACTCTATCGAGGGCAGCACTCTACCGAGGGCCACAAAGTAAGACTCTGTCTCAAAAAAAAAAAAAAAAATTATAAGAAAAATTAAAAAAAAAACAATAACTAGTTTATGATAACTTCTTATAGGTCAGACAAAGAAAACTACCCTGATGCTGTCAACTCTGCATGTCAGGCATGTCCAGGCTGGTGGGGAGCGCCCAGCAGGCACGCACCTTGCTCCAGGTACTCCAGGCTCTGCTTCTGCCTCTTGATCACAGTGCACATGCGTCCGAGTGCGGCCCGCTTCAGCTGCTTGCAGCGGTACAGAGAGTCGCCGTACTTCATAAGCCGCACATAATCTTTAGCAACACTTTAAACATAAAAAGTTTCAGTTTTTTTCACTTTTGGTAACTTAAAAAATACTATAATAAAAAAAATCTTACTTGTCCACTAGATTTTTGGCAATATTTATTTGTCCTAGAGCCAACTTGTAATGGTCCTTGTCGTAGAGAATATTCATCAAATCAGCATAGAATGGGTGGATGTCCTGCAACACACACACAGAGTCACTTTGGTCCCACAGCCTCCTCCTTGCCCCCCAGAGCTGTGGCATCTCCTCCTCCCCCGCATCCTGCAAACGTGGTACCATCCCTCAGTCTTTAAGTCCTCCCAACTCCTGCTGCCCCTCTGCTCCCAAGACATACTATATTCCCCCCTCTCCTAGACCCTCAGTCACCAGGACTCTGTGCGTACCACTCCATACAAACAACCCATGAGCTGGCATAGCACCTCCCCACAGCCATTCTCCCTCCTATCCTACCAGGCCTCTTGTAGTACAGGGGACTGGCCACCCAACCCAACTGCAGCATACCACTTGGTGGGCTTCCAGGACCACCACCTGCCATCCTCTCCATCAGCCCCTCTGAGCTGGCTCCTGCTCACAGCCCAGCCCTAAGCATTCATGTCCCTCTCGTACTCTTCTCCCCACAACCCCTTCCTAGGTGACCCCAGAAGTCTGTTTACATCTCCAGGCCAGAACTCTCTGGAGCCCAGTTTCCTGGCGTTCCCACCTGGATGTCTCACACACACCTCAGGACCAGTGCGTACAAGTGGGGTCTCTGGCCCACTGCTCCTCTCTGCCTTTCATCTTGGTAAACGGCTGCGCTGCCCAAGGCACTAAGGCTGGACCTCAGCATTCTCACTACTGCTGAGGCCCACGTCCAGTCTACGAATATTTCCTGTCAGTGCGACCTTTCAACCCCACTCTGGCACAACCATCTAATCTCCACGATCCTCCCATTGTACACCAGGATCAATGTGTAGAGGAATGGACACCATGCTTGCAAAGCACAGTTACTGATTCTTATCACATTAAAAGGAAACGCTGAGAACAGGATAGTCTCCTGGCAAGCCTAGGGATGTTTTATGACATGTTGGCAATCCCAAGTAACTCAGTGTTCGGAGTGAGATAAGATTGGTCACTCACTAGTAAGCATGTCGTAACACTGATGCTTAGTACTTCTTCACGCAGATTGTGGGAAAAGAACACGTGAGGAAAGAGCACAGTGGCGATCAGCCCCTGTATGTAATTACCTTAACTCTCCACACCTGCTGTATATAACCTTAATAAATAACTGTTGCTGAGAGGGCACTTAAGGTTAGCCCCCCTCCCATAAGCTTGTACTTCTAATCCGAGTCACGCCTGGTTCCTTCCTGCGGTGACTGAGACCAGGCCTTAGGGGTCCCAACATCAATGCATTGATCTCTCAATGGTCTCGTTTTTCTCTCTCCCTTCACCTATCTGCAGTAACTATTCTGGGGCACTGGCCAATCTAGGCTCTCAGACTACACAGTTGACCCCACAGCCTTCACAACTTCAAGCAGCCCTGCAACCAGGCCACCCTATACAAAGCTTCCCAAGGCTCAGTTTCTGCTCCTGCCTTGGGAGGAGCAGTCGACCCAGATATGCAGCACAGGAAGGAGCTCGGCTCTCTGGCTTAATGTGGAAGCCACAGGACCCCAGGTGACCTCTTTTTGCCAGTGAAGAAAACAGAGCAGAACTGACCACCATCAGATGATGAAGCATTAAGACCACATAGTGGTGGACCCTAAGCCACTGACCCAAGTTGAGCCCAAAGGAAAAAGCAGCCTTGGAAAGAGGGAGGAGGAAGGTATAACCCAGGTGAGCCAGAGCGCCACCAGAGGGGCCTGAGCATCTGAGTCACAACCCATGGCTTTCACACAGCGTGGCCCAGCCTCCATGAGCCCAGCCTGAGAGGACTGTGCTGGGCCTGCCTAGACGGGGCTTGGCTGGAGAAAGAGCACTAAGGAATCACAAGACCTATGCTCTACCCCACCTCTGTGACTAACTTACTGAGCAGCCTCCGACAAGTCATTTCTGTCAAATTAGAACACCAAACTGGTCACACACTGACTCCCCCAGGCTCACATTTATACCATCAGACATAACCACACAAGTCCCCAGAGACACTTACATCCAATTTGGGGAAATCTGTGAGGATTTGTGAGAGTCTGTCATGGTAATTCTGTTGAGTAAATTTGACTTTTCTCATGTAAAAATGTCTAATGCGATGAATTTGGTAATGTTTATGGATAACTGTTGGAGTCTTTCGTTGAGTCTTCGATAATGTTAGGTCAATAAAGTCCTGCAATTAAAGAAAAAAAAACACAATTACAACAAAGTGTCTACTTTTCATCCACTTACTTAAAACCTTAAAACACTACTATCTGGCTCGGCACCTGTGGCTAAAGCGGCTAAGGCGCCAGCCACATACACCTAAGGTGGCGGGTTCAAATCCCCAGCCCGGGCCTGCCAAATAACAATGATGGCTGCAACCAAAAAATGGCTGGGTGTTGTGGCAGGCGCCTGTAGTCCCAGCTACCTGGGAGGTTGAGGCAGGAGACTCGCTTGAGCCCAGGAGTTGGAGGTTGCTGTGAGCTGTGATGCCACAGCACCCTCTACCCAGGGGGATAGCTTGAGGCTCCGTCTAAAAAAAAAAAACAAAAAACCAAAAAAACCAAAAAAAAAAAACCACTACTATCTAAAAGTACTACAAATTTGAGACTATGAAAATTTACTTTGTCTAACTAAATCTTTTACATGCAACTTTGTCTTTAGTTTCTGGTCTTTAAGAAACACTTGCCAAATGGCTGCAGATAAAAAATAAATTTCACTCTGTGCTTTCTTATTGCTGGCTTACTCCCAAACACCTATAGATTTTAGTGAGGAAAATGAAACAAACCTTTAATTTCAATTTTAATATGTATACCCTTGCCTTTGAAAGTAACAGGTACGGCTAACACCTATAGCTCAAGCCACTGGGGCGCCAGCCACATACACCAGAGCTGGCGGGTTCAAATCCAGCTCAGGCCTGCCAAACAACAATGACAACTGCAACCAAAAAACAGCCGGGCGTTGTGGCAGGCGCCTGTAGTACCAGCTACTTGGGAGGCTAAGGCAAGAGAATTGCTTAAGCCCAAGAGTTTGAAGTTGCTGTGAGCTGTGACACCACAGCACTCTACTCAGGGTGACAGCTTGAGACCATGTCTCCAAAAAAAAGAAAGAAAGAAAAGAAAAGAACAGGTAAAACCAAAACCCACTGTTTGTAATTTCCTAAGAGTCCTAAGTGACTCTCTAGGGGTCCAAGGGACTTTTGCTCAAGCTGCCCAGGACACACAGTCGGTGCTTACAAGGAAGCCACCCCTGGGCTACCTCAGTCCCTTACTCCTGCCCATACAAAATCCTTGAATTTCCCTTGAACACTTTTACTAATTCATCAATATCAATCATTTCCCACAAAGGATGACAGAATACTCAGGTGCTGAAGATAAACTGATAGGCGGGGCATTGTCCCTTTGAGGAACTCAGGGTCCAGTGGCAGAGAGCAGTAAACAGGCAGTTACCCACGGTCTGCCAAGTACTACAGTGCTAGACACCCATATGTGTGCACTTCCGGGCCCACAAAGAAGATATCTTCTACCCTCTTCTCCACCTAGTGGAGTTTACACATTCTTAAGGGGCCAGTTTGAAAGTTACCTACTTCATAAGGGCTCCTAATTCCTACTTACAGAGCTACACATTCTTCTGTTCTCCCAAATCCACATATGTCCTGCCTTACAGCAACTGCTGTATTTCTAGACTGAAGTGAATCCTACATTTTCCCGTGGTGATTTACCAAAGGACTATCATCACCCACCCTTTCGACAGGTAAACTCCTCTGTTCTCTGAAAAATCCAAACTGTACCACAGAGAACAGTAGATGGACAGTGTACTTTAAAGTTTAAATGTGCTTTAAAGTTCTCTGCAAAGGTGAATCACATGAACGCAGTTCACATGATCCAAAGAACTCTAATCCAGATAAAACAAAAATCTCTCTGCAAATTCCTTCAACCAACATGAGAGATGGATGAGAAAGTAGCATGAGGACAAAAAATACAAAGTAAGACATGATTCCTACACTTGAAAATACTACAGTCTGGCTCGGTGCCTGTGGCTCAAGCGGCTAAGGTGCCAGTGACATACACCTGAGCTGGTGGGTTCAAATCCAGCCTGGGCCTGCCAAACAACAATGACAGCTGCAACCAAGAAATAGCCGGGCGTTGTGGCAAGCACTTGTAGTCCCAGCTACTTGGGAGGAAGAGGCAGGAGAGTCGCTTGAGCCCAGGAGGTAGAGGTTGCTGTGAGCTGTGATGCCACAGCACTCTACCTAGGGCAACAGCTTGAGGCTC